TGGGCACAACTGTTTCAGACTAGAGAAAACTTCCAGAGTGATCTTTGGAATCCAGACAGCAGAACCTGGTGGGAGACAAGTCTGGAGATTCTAAAGAAGAGAGAAAATCACTGAAGCACCTGCCCAGGGGAAGTGAGAAAGGAGGAAGGGGTGTGAAGAGGACAGAGCCCCTTTGATAGGAGCTCCTTCCGCAGCATTTTCAGCCAAACAGCAGGCAGACGGCGGGGAAGCTGTGGGGTGAGGCAGTCCCAAGGGCCAGAGAGCAGAGGCGCTGCTGAGGCCAGGGCGTGTTGGGGGCACAGAGGGGACCTAAGTCTGCTCAATGGCAGCAGGATCCCTGAGGGCGGGATGGACCCCGTGGAGCGGTGACTTTCCCTAGGCGTCCTCTGCAGCCAGGAGTGTGGGGCTGGGGACCGAACCCACCCCCTGATCAGGAGGAAAGTGGGTAGCGCGCTGCCTACCGCCAAGTTCACCTGCTGTGTTTCTGGCGCTCTGTTTCCATCTTTGCATCCGTTCTACCTCCAGCTCTAAATGTCACCTGCCAGGAGGCATGTGCTTTGTTTTCCTCTGAATCCCTGGGTCTGGATCACTGGATCTCAAAACCCACGGGACTCATCACATGAATCATTTTGCAATTGTTTCTTGGGCGCTCAGGAAGGATCTTCATCTGCCGGCGGAAGATAAAGACCACACCGGGCTCATAGAGCCCCTTCGTGCTACAGATGGAGGAGCCAGAGCCCAGAGAGGTCGACTTGACGCCCTTGTTCTCGGGCGTCTGCTGGTTTCCTCTTCCATGGAGCCTTCCAGGGCCATCGCTCACATTCTGTGTCTGTGCCGGTTCTAACCCAGGATCACTCCATTCAGAATTTGGGGCGCCTGAGTGGCTCAGTTAGTGGAGCGTCTGCCTTTGGTTCAGGTCACGATCCCAGGGTCCCGAGATGGAGTCCTGCATTGGGTTCCCTGCTCAGTGGGGAGCCTGCTTCTCTCTGTGTTCCTCACCTACTCTCTTCTCTCTTGCTCTCAACCATGCATGCAAATAAATAAATAAAATCTTTAATAATAATAATTAATAATAATAAAATAACAACATCACTCAATGGAAATTGTAGTTGAGCTAGAAGCTCCTGCAGAACCACTCAGCACTGGAAGGGCAGTGCTACACCATGAGCTAGAAAGTCTGCTTGATGAGGGAAAGTGCCCCCAAATGCAAGTGGAAGAAGCAGCAGCAAGACAGTGGTGGTTGGTGTGTGCAAATGAGGGACCCGATGAGGTGGCATAAGCTCTGGGATGTCAGCGTCCCAGAAGTTAAGGGACTGAGGGCTTTAAGGTGCTTCTCTATGGGTTTGGCAGTTACATAAACAAGTCTAGGAATGTCTGCTGTGCATCTGCTGTTCTGTAGAGTAGCTTGTGTTCTATTTTTCTTCCGATGTCACTCGCTACCCTGTTTATGTGGGTTTTCAATGTATCAGAAATCTCTATAAGCAAGCAGTACAGTTAGAATCACCAAGTTTTATTCTCTACAGCCCTCACTCCATTTGCCCTCAACACAGAAATGTCCCTAGAAGCTGTTTGTCTTTGGACAACATTCTCCCTGTTTAAGAAAAAAAAAAAAGTCTCTTGAATGCAAACTGTCTCATACCCTACTTATTAAACTGACTAAAATAAATATTTAAAGTTACATTTCTAAGTCTTTGCTTAGTGATGTTACTTTAATTGCTGTTTATTTTAGCTGGATCCTGTTCTCATGGCTCCAAGAGTCCTTCTGATTTAATAACAGCACTGGACACATTTTGGATATTAGCTTAACCAAGGAGCTAGCATTCATACTTTGGATTCAGTGTCTTAGCGCAGGTTGCTATTCCAAGAACGCCATAGACCGAGTGACTTAACGAGCATTTCTTTCTCATAGCTCTGGAGGCTGGACATCGAGGATTGGAGTGCCCACAGATTCGGTGCCTGGTGAGGGCCCTCTTCCTGGCTCACAGCTGATTTCTCGCTGCCCTCGCACGGCGGAGAGCAGAAAGATCATCCCTCCTGCTCATCCTCCTCTCAACCCCTCCTCCTCCTCTTCCTCCTGTAAGAGCAAAATCCCATCAGCCCCCCATGACCTCATCACCATCCAAAGGCCTCACCTCCTGATACCACCACACTGAAGATTTAGGCTGCAGCCTATAAATTTTGGGAGGACACCAACATTCATTCCATTCCATTCCATTTAGCCAAGAGATAAATTTAAAAAAAAGAATTTTGTCCCTCATCCACCTGGGAGGATACATGATTCAATCGAAGACTGACTGTCAGGCCTGGCAGGATCAAGGAGGTGTCCTTTCCAGCTCCCAGCGCCCTGCAGCCCAGGCCGTGATGCAGTGTCACCCCGGTTTATGCTTCCCAATCCCACTCTCTCTGGTCAGAAGTAGTAAATCATTGAAAAGTCAGAATGGAGAAGATAAAGCACCAAGTATGGGGGGATAGGGAACATCTTGTCCATTTTATTTGGGAAAATAAATTAGAGAGGACACCCACGCAGATGTTTCTCTTTTTTCAGATGAGGGAGGGGATAAGGACCCAGGAGGGTACCTGCTAAGACCCCACTCAGTCAACTTTTTGGATGTGCCAACACTGGCTGTGGTGAGAACGCTGAGAGTTATCTCCTCTGACTGCAACACGGTGGTCAATCTCCTTCAACCGCTCACTTGGCACCTCGCCCCCATGTATAGGTGCTCAAGGGAGACAGTGGGGGCCCACGTGGTGAAACCAAGGCAAAGCCAGCAAAATTAATTCTGGAGGTTCAGCCTGGCCTTGTTCTAGGTCTTTCACATAATGTGGGAAAAACCACTCAACAGTACTCTGCCTCAGTTTCCCCACCAGAGAAGGGAATTCCTTCTTTCCTCCACATTTACTTTTAAGTGGTTATTTTTTTAACTGCATTTTTTTTTTTTTTAGAGAGACAGCACGGGGAGGGAGGAGCAGAGGGAGAGAATCGTCAAGCAGACTCTTCGTGGAGCAGGGAGCCGGACAAGGGGCTCCATCCTACCATCCTGAGATCTCAATCTGGGCCGAAACCAAGAGTCAGATGCAGAGGCCCCCTGGACGCCCCTACATTTACTTTTTATAAAGCTTGCTATCCACAACACACATCACCAACAAAATACTATGTTTTCCAATTAAATTACAAAGTCCTAGGTATAACATGGCTGTGGAGTTTTTTGGAGATCCCACAGCCTGAGGCTAAAATAGACCATTTAATGGTAAATAACTTTTGCAATAGAAAGACACAGTACAGGGCAGCCCGGGTGGCTCAGCGGTTTAGCGCTGCCTTTGGCCCAGGGTGTGATCCTGGAGATCCGGGATCGAGTCCCACGTCAGGCTCCCTGCATGGAGCCTGCTTCTCCCTTTGCCTGTGTCTCTGCCTCTCTGTTTCTCTCTGTGTCTCTCATGAATGAATAAATAAAATCTTAAGAAAGAAAGAAAGAAAGAAAGAAAGAAAGAAAGAAAGAAAGAAAGAAAGAAAGAAAGACACAGTACAAAGAGGGGAAAAAAGAAAAGTGGGATTTGCCTAAAGTAAAAACATTAACAGGAAAGCTCAACCTTGATACCCAAAAACCATTTTTTTTTCAGTGTCAGAAAGTGAGGGATACCTCTCTGGAATATTCTTCTCTGCTCTTAGAAAGCAGCAGTAACTGGTAATGTGCAATAACAGCCTTCCCTCCAGCCTTTCTTTATTCTTTCTTTCTTGTTTTTTTTTTTTTTGAGTAATGTCTACACCCAATGTGGGGCTTGAACTCACGACCCTGAGATCAAGCGTTGCTTGTGGCTCGGTGCCACTCCCCCTGCAGCCCCGAGACCTGGACCTGGACGGTCAATCACTGCCTCAACACTGACAGGGTGGGCCGAGCCCCTAGGCTGGCAGGACATCTGCCCAGCGGGGGCCGAAGTTATGTAACAGGGAGGACCTGGGGGAGCCTGACAGTGGCCCAGCCGGTACCCCCGGTGCACACATCTCCTCTTTCTCTGAGCTCTGAGCTATGGACGCTTCTGTCAGCAGTCTGGGCTGGTGTCTTCACACCGCTGGCCTGAAAACAGGCAGCTGAGTCTGGGAAGATGGGAGTCAGAAAACCCAGAGCTGGCGGGGCCGGGCCTGGTGGGTGCACCAGAGGGACACCGCGTCTCCGAGACAGAACCCGACACTCCCCCCACCCCCGCTGCGCTAACAACCTCCTGAAGCCGCCTGGTCCGACAGGAACATGTGGATGTCATTTTGCCGCTCGAATGTGCCCCATGGGAGAGTAAATACGATAAACAATTTTCTTGACTCTGATTTCCCTCCAAGTGCTAAGTATGGTTCCATGTCTCCTGAAAGCTCGCTCTGGAGTCACTCCCGACTGGGAGAAACCTCTTGTGAAGCCAGCACAAAAGCTTTTATTTAGTTCAGCCTCACGTTAAAATATTCCATTTCTCCGACCCAAATCTTCCTTTTCTCTGCCTTGCGGCTTGAGTGGCACCTGCGTCCAACTGCGTCCTGGCCACGCTCTGCACCCAGGGAGGACCAGGCTTTGCTGAACCCTGGTGGCCCCAAGAAGACCAAACAGAGCAAAGGCAAGAACTGGCGAGGAGGCAGGGTGGGGGGCCCCTGATGCCACCCTCAGCCTCGCTTCTCCGAGATAGCGTGATGGGCTGTGGGGTGGGGGGGAATCCTGCCATGAGAAGGGTGGTGCTCCCTGACTCTGAAGCCCCCACCACTGATTTTAACCTTTGCCTCGTGGGATCAGATCGCTTGTCCATTTTCTGGGACCACGTTCTGGGACCCGTTCTTGGGCTGATTTCCTGGCTCGGCCTGAGACACGGGAAGGCTCCTCAGCTGTGTAAGCACGCCTTCTGCCGAGAACCTGCGAGCCAGGACCTGGAGCAAAGAAGGCCAGAATTCTGACAACGGGAGAAGAGCGCCAAGTCCAAGGTGGGCCAACGCTCCAACCGAGATGGGTCTGTAAAAAACAGCCACATGGGGTAGTCCTTTTATTAGCTTACCGGAATAAACAGGAGCGCACCCATCGGCACCATTGAGTGGTTTACAAAGTCCACTAGACATCAGCATCTGGGATGCAGATTTTCTATTTTCAGCCAATTTGTTTTTAATGAAAATTCACTTTCCAGGGCAAGATACCACAGCAGGAAAAAAAAAAAAAAAAGAAAGAAAGAAAAGAAAAAAAAATAAAATCCTCTCCTAAGAAAAGACTTAATTGCTTACAATGATCAAATCTACGAGCTATTTGCCTGACCCATGGCCTGGGCCCCATGAGAGGTCCCCCCGAGGCAGAGGCTGGCCACACATCTGGAGAACACGGTGGCTCTGAGAGGACAGAGTCCTAAGCATCAGCGTGAGGCGCAAAGCAGAGCGCCCAGACTTGGCTGTTTGCGTGGAGAGAAGCAGCTTTGTGGCAACGTCCCTTTGGACAGGCTATGGGGACAGAGACGCAGACCTCTTGCTTTTAAGTATGACTTTTGCCCCTGGGGGCTACCGGCTTTATGGTCCAGAGGGAGAGGGGAGGCAGGACAGGGCAGTGGCAGGAAACAACAAGCTCCCTCCCGGGCCGACCCTGCCCTTCGCTCCAGTGGACATCTGGCCTGCCCGCCGCCAGGGGTAAAAGTGGCAGCAAACGGCCGGGATGCCAGGCACCTGCAAGCGACAGGAACCGCACCAGGGGGTCCCCGAAGACCACCTCCCTGTCCACATGCCGAAGTCACGGCTGTTGGCATCAGAGTGCCCTGGACGGTCCCAGGCCAAACGAAGTCTCGGAGTCAAAGGGATGGGCTGCCAGGTAATCCTTGTACGCCCCGTCTATCAGCTCGGCCGCGTTGTTCCTGGCAAACCAGCAGTCAACCTGCTCCTCCCCGTTGTAGATTTTCCGTTGTTTCCAGACCACCGGGACCCGGTGTCCTTTCACCTTCAGGACGGTCTCGGGCTGCTCGCCGGCCTGGGGGTCCTTGCCAAGCCCGGCAGGCTCCTCCGTGAGTCTGGCCTCCTGGTTCAGGAACTGACCTGGCAGGACACAGAAATGCACCGGCTCTAAGTCGGGGGCAGGGCACCCTGGGCTGCAAGAGCCGATTTCGGTGTAGGCCACGGGTGACCAGCCAGTGTACGGGCCTCAGGGGCCACGACCCCACCCGCCATCCTGGGCTGGACTCCCCGGCATCAGACACGCATTGGGAGGGCGCAGACTCGGGGAGTGCGAGGCTGGGTTCGCGGTGGCCTCCTCTCTGGAAGCCGCCCAGCTGCGGACACTGAACAGCTGCCTAACGATGAGGATAGACAGCTATCCACGGCGTCCGCGGGAACTGGGAGACGGGGACGGGACGGACACTCAGGGAGGAAGGCTGGGTCTCTCACCTCCCCCGGGGCCCCCGGTCCCCTCCCCGACGGCACGCTCGGTGGGAATGGCAGTCGGTTTGGCCTGTTTCCGATCCGAATCCCCGGAACTCTTCAGGTCAAGTGAGGGCACCGCCGAGGCCACAGCAAGACCGGCCTGCGTGTGGGAGAGGCGGCTCATGCTTGGCAGTGAAGCCGGACAGAAACACAGCCAGCTCCAGCGCCAGGAAATCCTGCTTTCTAAACTGGGCCCTGGCAGCAGCTCACCCTTCACCGTGGGCAGGGGGCCCACGGGGCCTACACGTCGCCCGCAGGAGGGGACCGCCTGCGGCCCGGAGCCGGGCAGGGACTCGGGCCTGGTGCTGGGCCGTGCACTGCCCTGTATTCACCTCTTCTCACTGAGTCAGGAGCCAAGGCCTTGAGAGGAGGACTCGCAAAGTCTTTGCTCACTTTCCCAGAAGGTCAGTGAGAATTCACTGATATGCCCGTTCCCGTTCCAGAAAGTCACTGGGGCAGGGGGCGTGGGGTTGGGGGACAAGACCTGTCACTCCACCACCACATTTCTCAATTAAACTAAACACATGGGCTGGTATCAGCCTCGCTTTGGGAAACGGAGCTCTACGCCCCGCACCGGCGTGAGAGCAGCTGCCTACCTAACAGTCCGTGGCAGTTGCCAGAGAGGCCTTTGCTGTTGGAGATGTAGAAGCCCAGGTGGTTTCGCTGGTAGGGGGCTGGCTTTTTATACAGGTGAATGAGGATGACGAAGGCGATGGTGCTCTGGATGGTAACGGTGACGTTGGCATTGGCAGACACGGACACCTCCAGCCCCCAACTCCCCGCCACTGCGCTCTGGTTGCAGGGGAGGACCAGCCTGTCCCCGCTGTCCAAGATGACTCTGTTGGGCGTGATCTCCAGGTAAGACCTCTCAGGCTTATTGACGAGGATGGTGATGGTGCGGAAGTATGTGCGCTGCTTCTTGTGGCCGCCTGGGGGAGCCGGGGCCCCGATCAGCTCTCCATTCACCGTCACGCCTGGAAGGCAGAGGGGGCGAGGTCAGTGGTTAGCGCACCATCCCACCAAGGGGACGAGGGCAGTGGTTAGCGTACCATCCCACCGTCAGGCTAAAGGCATCTCATAGATTTTCCTTCTTCCTCTGGCCTTACTTCTGTGTCTCCAGCACCATGAAGTCTGACTCACAGGTAGGTGCCTCTCTGTCCTACTGGATGGCTGTGTGCATGTGTGCAGGTGTGCGTGACATCGTCCCTATGTTGGAGCAGGGGAACGAAGATGTGGGCTTGCCTTCCCTGGGGCAGGGGGAAAGGGGGAAGGAGAAATCCCAGCACGAGCAGAGGCCAGCTATTGCAGCCTGGAGGCTCCAGACATCTCTGGCCGTTTCCTCACAGACACCATGCTGATCACAGAAGCGCCAGGAACAGGCCCCTAGGAAGGTGGGCACCTGCAGGGAGGGGTACGGTCAGGCCCCCATCTCGCTGCTGAGCCTGAGTTAGGATGCGCGGAGACTTAGCCCAAAGGCTCGGAAGCCTTGCAAGGGAACAAGGTGGGAAAGGAGCCTTGGGATCACGTATTAGGTGATTACACCACAGGTGTCACCTAGCCTTCCAGAAACGCCACAGAGCCATCCCTCAGGCACTGTTCCCTGCGGGTGTCTTGAGACCTCTTATACCCAGCCCCTCTACAGCCTGCAGGAGATCGGAGCCCTTTTCACCTCTGCATTGGATGCATACAGAGCTGGAGGCTTAGCCTCACGTCACGAGGAGCTGGGAGAGACGGCTTGAGGGCTCCAGCCTTCCCGCTGTCACAGTTTTGGAACGGAAAGACGTGCCGACAGTAATCAATCGTGAATCTATGCAGCACCTGGGCGTTCACAGAACCACTTCACATCCGCTATTTCATCCGGTCTTCACAACAGCCGGTGAGAGTGGCAGAGCGAGTACTCCTGTCCCCAGGTTCCAGGGCAGACGCGTGCCCAAGGCTCAATGAGTTAAGCCAGAGCAGGGCTTCCAGCCGTCGTCCTCCTGACTCCAGCCCCGCACGCAGTCGGCTTCCTTTAATTAAGCCCCCATGATCCTCGGGGAGTGTCTGTCATGTGGCCCCTTCTGTACATGGACATCCGTCCCAGGAACAGAGGGGGCCCTCACACCTAACTCGCCCTTGCCCGGAGGTCGCAGGGAGCATGACATGGAACTTACCAGAGTCCGCGTGGTCAGAGATGAGCCTTAGGATATCGCCCGGCTGCCCATCAATGTTGAAGCAGACGGTGAGCTTGCTCAGGGGGAAATCCACGACAAAATGGGGATCTCCATCCACTGCCCGACCAGGAAAAACCAGGAGAGAGCAAGAGAGACATTTACTGGGCGCCTTCCATGTGTGAATACTCCTTCCCACTTGCTCACGCATGATTGGCTTTGCCTGTCACTGATCCTCGACGTCAAAACGAGGAAGGGGACTGGGGGGCGAAGGGACACACCTGGGGTACGGGGTCAGCGTGTGAGGGGTGTGAACTCGGGTCCCCTGAATCCAACAGGATGCTCCTTCCACCCCACTCAGGTCAAAGAAAATCATTTCCTTTCTCCTCTGACCCCCCGAGGGAAGAGCTGTGGATGCAAACCCTCCGTCTCCAGTGACCGGAGTACCACAGCACTAGATGCACAGTGGCCAGGCCCCACAGTCCCTACATGACAGTGACTGAGCCCAATTGGGGGGGGGGGGTGAGCAGGAAGGCCACAGAGTCACTGGGTGCTGGGAAAGACGGTCAGCGATGACCCTGGAAACCCCTCCTCTGAGGCACGTGGACCTAAACGCTCTCACGGGTTTGTCCACAGATAAGACCACAGAGTGTGGCCGGTCCCTGTTCCTTGAACATTCTCCTCATTTTCGCCTCTGGACAATAGACACGAAGGGCCTTGCCTCCGGCTGTGCAGACAAAATAATTCCCAACCGTCTACATCAGTTCTCTTCCCTCACTAGAGAGTTAGTTCCTTTCTAACTTTTATGCCAAACGCAACGTGTTTCTGGATGCCTCTGCGCATCACGCGCATATGCTCGTGCATGCATCTGCATACGGTCAGTCTTTTCAAGTCGCGAGCAAATTAATGTCCTCGGTGTAACTGCTAAAAAACTTTCTGTCTCTGTCATGACTCAGAAAGGCCCATGAAAGAATCTGGCTGAAGTCACTGTGAAGTGCCTCGGGCACCCTACGACACACAAAGAGATACAAGGTGGTCTTTTGTAGATGAGAAAGAAAAAAAAAAGACACCCATCAGAGGTAAAATCCTAGTCCGTATTTTTGGCACTCTCCAGGTACGAACATTATGTGACAATTCTGGAGCCTGGGTGGCTCAGTGGGTTAAGCGTCTGCCTTTGGCTCAGGTCATGATCCCGGGTCCTGGGTTGGAGCCCCGAGTCCAGCTCTCCTTCCCCCTGCCCTTCCCCCCTGCTCGCTTGCTCTCTGTCTCTCAAATAAATAAAATCTTAAAAAAAAAAAAACCAATTATGTGACAGTTCTTTGAGAGTTTCTTGAGCTCACACCACATCATTTCTACTCAAATCCTCCAAATCCTTTTACACGGAAAGATGCTGCTTGTTTCAAAAAGGAGAGGACGGGTCTGAAAGTCATTACTCCACGCCACATCCACGGGGAGACTCTCCTCGCATCCCACAAAGCATGTGTGTGTGCAAAAGAGTTGTCCTCTTCGCATCGGAGCCCGCGAGCATCCTCTCCGCATGGCTAACTTCTAGAACGTTCCTGGCTCTGCGATCTGGCCCGTCGAGCATATCAGCAGCAAGGCAGTGATACCCACAGAAGATGACGTGTGTTCTTTGCAGGACCTTTGAGGACTAAAACTCTGCCTTTGTGTTGTTAGTCTGTCTGGATGTTCCTCATAATCCCAGGAAGCTGGCCGAAGGAAATTTTATGCTATTTTTATTGGTCTTTCCCTTCTAAAGCCAAAGATTAAAATAACAACAATAATAATAGACTCTGCACTTCACAGATATCCGTAACACGGGAGGCGGGACGCACGTCCCCTTCGCATCTCTTGAAACAAGTGACTTTTAAGCTCAGTAATGATGGAAACGTGCCTCTGCTTTGCATGTGCCCTCCCCCAAGTCAGGGCTGCTGGGCTCCCTGGGGCCACGGCCTCGGTGTTTGCAGGACGGATCCCTCCCCCTGTTCTTAGAACTGCCTCTCGCTGCTGCCTTTTGCTGAACAACCGTGGGTCCCGTGTCGTGCTCTAGGGGCTGGCGTTTTACTGGCTTTGGGGAACTCCTGGTGATCCACCTGGTAAACATCTCAGCCCTCAAGGGACACACAACCACAGGCTTTTCCTTACCTGACGTTCTGGAGACCTTAATTCTTGGGCTGTACGGTTTCTTGAGAGCAGGTCCTAGAAGGAAGGAAGAGCCACCATTGTTATTCATTAAGGGGGATGAGGGCAGAGGCACAGACAAGAGGTCCGGGGTGAGTGAAACACAGCTCTCGAATGCACCTGTGGTCATTTAAAAACATCACCTGTTTGGCTTTATTTTTTATTTTTGTGGTTTTATTTTATTTTATTCATGAGAGACACACACACAGAGAGAGAGAGAGAGAGGCAGAGACACAGGCAGAGGGAGAAGCAGGCTCCATGCAGGGAGCCCGACTCGAGACTCGATCCTGGGTCTCCAGGATCACACCCTGGGCCAAAGGCGGCGCTAAACCGCTGAGCCACCCGGGCTTCCCAACATCACCTGTTTTAACCAAGGAGCTGGGCCTCCCAACACGCAAGTGAAGGAGTACCACGTGAACACTGGGTTATTTTATTCCTTTATACATTAGGTCATATTCTTCCTAAGATCTCTGCATACATCGTAAGGGAAAGCAAAGCAAATAATAATAATAATAAGGGAAAACATTCTATCCTACTAACGAATGTCTAATGGGTACAGAGGCTCAGGTTTGCAAGTTGAAAACAGTCCTGGAGACCTGTGAATATGTGTCACACTACCGAACTGTACACTTCGAAATGGTTAAGATGGTGAATTGTGCGTTGTTGGGGTTTTTTTTTCAATTTAAAAAATATAAAAATGTAAAAATAAAAGTTATAATCCAGATAGAGTTATCATCTGAAATCTTCAATAAATGGCTAGTCCTACATCCCCCGCAGCAGAGGGATCTAGTATTTGTGGAGCGCTCGCTATGTACCGAATACTTGACGAATCTAATCCTTGCAACGGCCCTTCAGGGGGATGCTTAGGATCTACATTTCATAGGCCAGGGAACAGAAGCCCAGAGAGGTTCAGAAACCTGCCACGTGCCACACCGCAGAAACAGCGGGGGCTGGGTCCCCCCCGTTCCGCTCTCCCTACCACACCCAGGTGCTGCTCAGGGTTTAGGACCTGAGGAATAAGTAAGACAGTGTTTGCAGGCCCTGGGTTCACGTCAATTCCCTCCCCTTAGGAGATGTGAACTTGGCCGGAATTCAGTAAACTTGTTGCACATACGAAACACGCTCTTTTCCACAAACCGTTATTACTGAGATTATACGGCTGTGCTTTGGCAGAACTACTTTCCCCTCTCCTTTTCCTGTGCCTGTCGCTGCTGATTTCCCCCAACGAGATGGCCTGAGACTGGAAACGACAGTTTCTGTGTAGATTCTGAGTGATAAGCACGCAAAGGATGAATTCTCTCGAGGATCCAGAGCGTCCTCCCTCACATACGTTCTCAAGACAATAAAAAGCAAGCAGTAGGCGCGCCTGGGGGGCTCAGGGGTTGAGCATCTGCCGTAGGCTCAGGTCGTGACCCTGGGGCATCGGGATGGAGTCCCACATCGGGCTCCCTGCATGGAGCCTGCTTCTCTCTCTGCCTGTGTCTCTCTGCCTTTCTCTGTGTGTCTCTCATGAATAAATAAATAAAATGTTTTTTAAAAAAGGCATCGCAGGGGAAAGTGTTCTGACATTCCACAAAGTGTGTGTGCCGCGGAGCGAGTGGGGTCCCACCCCACCCCGGGGGCTGTGTGTCTCCACCCGCAGGGCTGAGCCCCAGGTGCCCATGGCTGGTGAACGTGCACGCCCAGGGGGTAAGCGGGCCCGGCTCTGGAGGCTCACAGATGGAGGAGGGCACTTGGGAACACATCTGTGTTCACCCCTCTGTTCAACCCTGGTGCCTCCAATACGGCCTCGTCCGTGGGCCGCACCCAATGTCGCTGATTGATCAGCAGATGGACTTTACAGGACAGCATTTCCGGGACTAATGCCTCATTTCTCTACAGATCCACTCGTTGCCACCACGCAGACCCCGGAGTGTACAACGGCCGCTGAAGATGGGGCACAGCACGATCTGAGCTGGGGAGGGACAGCAGGGGGCCCCGGAAGTGCACCTGCCGCCCGGAGGCTGCTCACCTGGCTGCGGGCTGGCGCCCCGCAGGCTCTGCACCAGGGCCTCCGGGCCGGCGGCAGCGGCCATGCCCAGCGCATCCCCGGGCTGGTCCAGCCGCAGGGCCGAGCTCTGCAGGTGCATGGCCGTGAGCGGGGTGAGGAAGCGGTAGGCCACGGCCAGGGCCTGCGCCTTCTGCCGCGCGCGCTCCTTCTCCGGCCCGCCGCCGCCGTGCAGCCAGGAGCTCAGCAGCTCGCGCACTGTCAGGTAGCCCCACAGCCGCTCCACGTGCTTGGGGCCCCCCGCGCCACCGCCCTCAGGCCTGGCGCTTCCCGCCATGCCATTCCCTGCCTCCCGGGGACCCACGGGCACGTCTGTCTTGAGGATGACAAATTTCTTGCTGTTGCTGGCCGTGACTTCCACGTGCAGCTGCTCTGCGCTGCTGTCCGCCAGCTTCCCCGCAATGACGATCTCCGAGCCGTTGAAATAGTTGGGGAACAGGGTCCTGGTGGTCTGCTCCACCGTGGCCGGCGGGTAATCCACACGGATGTCTGAGAGGAGAGGGGTCCTGATCTCATCGTAGAACCTGCAGCGTCAGGAGGGATGCATGGAAACAGTTGGGGCGAGCCAGGGTTGCAGGCCACCCAGGCCCCACCTGCCAGGGGCCCGCGGGTCTCAGTGGCCCACAAGTCCAACACCACCCAGCAGAGCCAGGAGGCCAGGCAGCGGTAGCCTGAACACCCCCCTGTGGCAGAGAACTCACCATCCCACAGGCTTCCCACCTCCTTTCCACTGCTCTAACAGGGAGGAGGCGTCCCCTGGGGTAGGTCACAGGGAACAGATCTCTACTTCGGGCAGTTCCCACCCGCAGATCTCTGCTCTGCTTCTGGAGCAACACCCCACGAAGGCGTCTAATCCACCTTCAACATTCAGATGCTTCAAAACCACAGGCATTTAAATGTCTGACAGACACTGCCATGTGCGCCTTGAAATGTCCTCTTTGTGTCGCCTTGTTGATCCCCCCACTCCTGTCCTCAGTCCGTAACTATTCTTCATATGATACGATTTCGGGCACCCTGAGCTGAGCGGCCTCTTGGTAACTTTCCTTTGTGCACACCTATGCTTCTCAAAAGGGCTCTTAAAACACAATTTTTAGAACCAATCATATTCCAGATAAACTTTGAGCAGCGCGTTATCCTCGAGAAATCTCATCTTGGTCTAACAATAAGCTTGTGTGTAATGCCTCACTGGTTTGCATTGGCTTTTCTCCTGGTTCTCACAAGGTTGCTTTTTGCTGCATAAGGGGGTAATCTAAACCCTCTTCCAATGATCTAGGCAGCCCAGGCTGTGGAGGCCAGCTCAGCCACTTCCTTGCTGGGTGTCTTGGGCCACGTGACGTGACCTCTCTGAACTTCAGTGTCTTCCTCTATAAAGTTGGAATGCTGGAGTAACTGCTTTGGTAGACTATGAGGGGTCCCCCCAAACCCACTTTCCCTTCTTTCCTAACTGAGTTCTATCCAGCCAGCTACCAACTACATTTTTTAGCCTCCACTCTGGCCAAATATGGCCATGGTCTCACCACCAGAATATGAGTACAAGTGATACAGACTGCTTCTGCAATGCTTGCTTGAAATAAAATGGCTTTCTTACTCTGGTTTTCTTTTCTTTCCCCCCTCTTGGGGGCTAGAATATATTCTATAGAAGTGATAGTCACCTAATTTCAACCTTGCAGTTAAAGACGACACCTGAGGGGTGCAGAGCAACCAAAGAAGAGGAACAGGAATCTCTGAGTTACTTCATGGAACAGAGTCTAGTGTGTCCAGATATTACAGGAGAGGGTCATCTGCATGGAAGCTTCTCTTGGACCCACTACACTCGCTCCTAGGCTTTCTGTGAGGATCCCCTGAGACAAGAGATGTAGGAAAGCCCGGTGCATCGCAAGTTTGTGATAAATGTTGGGTAATTGATGATGGTTTTGGTAATACAACAGTGCAGTTGGTTTGTTTCAATGTAATTGCTTTTGCTTCTGAGCACGTTATTGAATCTTATTACACAATGCACTAGATTCTCCCTCTTTGAATATAGTTTTGAATAATTTTGAAAATGTGAGAAGCAAATCTGTCTTTTTATTTAAATCTTTGACCAGAACACTGGGGGAAGGAGAACAGTGGCTATCCTTATCCCAAGGACTCACCTTTACTGCCCACCTTAGAGACCTCCAATTCGATCTGTCATTAATGAATATTCTCTTGAATATGGCTATTAAACAGCTGTGAATCCACCCAAACCTCACTTTTTCTTTTAAGTATATACTATATATACTGTAAAGAAGGTCCAAGCACATAATGTGGCACTAAGTGTCAGCACTTCTCCAAATCAACAGCAAAGCCCACCCCATATTTGGCAACATGACAGCTGTGGGAAGGCTCCAAACAGAGTTAGAAAAGCTAAGATCTAGCTTCTTCCCCACCTCAGAAAAGAGAATCAGTGGCCAGTTGCAACCAGTACATAAGAAGGAGACAGCACAAACCTCTACATATGCCTCAGGTGGAATTGAGGCAAACACCTTAGACATTGCATCAGTGCACTGGTGCACTAGCAGGTTTACCAGAAGTATCAAGAAGACAATTATAATCTCAGCAGCTAACTGAAGACCTAACACACAGTAGGTGTGTTAGCCATCCCGCTGAGACTTTACACTGGTTTGCTCACTCAGTTCTGTCAACCAACTATAATCCTCATTTTACAGATGAGGAAACTGAGCAAGCATAGCCTCAATCATGCCTCAAGTCACAGAGCAGAGCCTAGAATCTGAATCCGGATTGACCTGGGTTAAAAATTACTTGGGACGTCTCCCAGTGTGATGACTTATGACCACACAACCATCTGCCCTCTCCCAAGAGCCCAAGTTCCACTGTCTGGAGAAGACAGACATACGGACCCGATGAGCTGTGAACCTGCATCCTCTTCTTCCAGGACCTGCCGTGTGAGACCGCAGTTCTCCAGTGACAGCTTCTCCAGCAGCTTGAAGTCCACGTCGTCCCCGATGCCGATGGTGAAGATGCAGACTTGGCCACGGGCAGCCTCCTTGGTGTTGTTGAGAATCTTGAGGGTGTGGGTCTCCCCAACGGTGGGTTTCCCATCGGTCAGGAAGACGATGAGGGACACACTTCGGTCTTCGATGTCATTGTGGGCCACATAGTCGTTGAGCAGCTTGATGGCCCTCTGCAGGGCCCCGTTGATGTCTGTGCCTGGGGGACACCAAACACGCCAGCTCAAGCATCTGTGCCGTCTCCTTCACTGGGGTGCATGGTCATGGCTCTGGTGTACCCACAACCGTCAGAGCAGTAGCAGGAGGATGTGCATGGGGAGAGAAGTCACCTGCACGTACGGGGTGATGGCAGCCTATCTGGACCCCTGGTAAGCGTTTGCTAAATGACTGGGAATGGCACTGAATTATCCTGCCGAATCCCACTTCTGAACGTATCTGACTTAGAAGTCTTCAATACCTTAGTGTCAAAGGTTCCTACTCCTCTTTGGGGACTAGCTTTGCAAAGGGCGGGGGTGGGGGGGGTTGGACACAGGAATTTGGAGGGAGGGAAAAATCCCAGAGGGAAAGAAAGGGCACTGAATGAGGAGGTGGGGTCGACCCTGGAAGGCCTCTGTTTTCTCTACTTGTCAGAACCGCCACAAAGCAAAGGCTTTGAGTTTTACACCTGTCAGCCCTCCCATTTCTCCCTCAGAGCTGTTGGGCTTGTCACCAACAGCTCTGGCTAAAGTTGGACAGTGTCTGTGGCCATCGTTACACAGGCATCTGCTTGGTAGGCGGAGAGATGGGTGGGTGGCGGGTTGAGGTGGACACTGCTGGCCAACATGAGCTTTCAGATTAGCTAAGAATTTCATTTGGGGACACTGTTGCTGTTCTTTCACCACCTAGTAAAATTCAGAGTAAATACCTGCTTCCTTTCCCTGCCTCCAGTGGGTTCTTCTTTTCCTTAATGGCTTTACTGAGATAAAATTTACAAACAAAATTTACATAAAATCGTGTCACTTTACATACACAATTACAATTACTTTTAGTACATTTATAAAGCTGTAGACCCATCACCACAAGCCATCACCCTGTCCTGAGTGATGTTTGTCCACCCACAAAATGCACCATGTTTGAGTGAACCAAATCATTTCTCCCAATTGCTTCACATTCTCCAGAATTTCTGGTTAAAAAAAAAAAAAAGTCTAGGTCTGCAAACATATCAATAATTCTGAGATGCACACAGAGTCTGAAGATAAAGGAAAGTTATGGCTCAAACAGTACTTAACATTTCTTTGGGCTTGTTATCTTGGCTTTCTGAGCACCCAGCCTGTTTCACCTCACCTCTGGATGGATGAGCCTGGACAAAAAGGCAGGTGTTTATCCTTCCTTTAATCTAGAACTTGGCAATGGTGTCAAATCTTTCATTCTACTTTAAGGCCAAAGAGAGCCCAAGCTAAGGGACAGACTTAGCTTTCCTAGTCCCAGGCACCAAGGCACAGCAGGGCATCAAATCAAACCTATGTGAACCCCGGGCAGAAATGTCCTGCTCTCTTAAGAATAGGGAGGGGGTCTCCACAGGGAGCTGACCCAGCCATCCCACTGAGAGCCCACCCAGGTCATCAGAGGACCCAAGAGCACCAGAGGGAGGGGCTGCTTGGGTGAAATGACCACATCTGACACTGAAAGAGGACTTCCCATGCCAGCCACCGTTCTAGGCACTTCAAATATTTTAACTGATTTTATCCTCATCACAACCCCATTACTGTCCACATTGGAAATGGGTAAACTCAGGTTTATGACACAGTAAATGGCTCGTAGGTGAGAGGGCCAGCTTCAGACACAGTCTGGCTTTGGAACCTACGCTCCCAGCCCTTCCCATCTGCTTCTCTGAGAGGAACAGACTAACTTTCTGCTCACCTGTAGAGGTTTGGGTGATGAAATGCTGAGAAAAAAAATAAAGGAGACTAATAAGGTCTCTAAGGTGTGGATTCCAAAGGAACATAATACACACCAGCCATTTCCTAAAGCTCTATCCCTACACCCAATGCCAACACACACACACACACACACACCATTCTAAGAGTGAGTAGTGCCACTGAAATGCATTCAACTTAACAAACACTCATGGAGCACGAGCTATACACATCAGGTCCTGTGCTGGGAACCAGGGCCCTTTGAAGATGAAGAACACTTTCCTCCCTCCAGGAACTTGACTGCCCTGTTGACTTCCTCCCAAATCATTAAATCCAATCTTTTCTCTCTCTCATCAACCATAAATCAGTCCCTAGACCACACTGTTGTACAGACAGGTAGGAAATCCCATGGCAAGTCAGAGTTCCAGCCAAACAAGATCGAGTTCTAAACAAAGTTCATCTTGGAGATCAGAGCTTCATCGTGGAGAGAAAATAATACCTAGGTGAAAGATGAGAAGTCGGAAGAAAACTGACCTGGGTGTTTTCTATGTTCCCCAATAACCAAATGAGAACCAACTGAGACACTAAACCCAGGAGATGACATCTCTGTAAAGGCCCTTTAGAAAGGGCAGAGAGAGTCTTAAGGAGTTTCCATAAATGCTCCAACAATGGGTCCACTGAACTGGAGACAGAGATGGCAGTGAGAGTAAGCCCCACATGTCCTGAGCTGAAGGAGCCTGCCTCTAGCACAGCTGGGTGACGTATGTCCCGATTCTCTCCTCTCCCTAGAACCTCGTATGACCTTTCCATCCTTCACACTCTCCCCTGGGCACCACACCCAAGTCAAGTGCACAAAGACTCAGAGCCCATCACACTTTCCGTGCACATCATGTCCCAGGGCACCCAGGATTCATGCTCTGCTCGCTGGCACGGCTCTGCCAATACGATGAATGGTTCAGCAGTGTGGTCCCAACAGCCGCCTCCTAAAATGCTAACGCTCAAGCACACAAAACACCAAACCTTCTCGTTGGCTTGGATCCCTCACCCAAGAGCGACAGACAAAAACAGCTCCATTGTTCGGATCTGTGAGATAAACCAGGAAAGGTTCCAAAACCTATCAAGTATTTCCCCCCTACCTTACCTAACCATCTCAGTTTGGGGCCTGGAAGATGAGACGTTCCAGACGTGGTGCTCAGGGAAACGAGCTTCTGGGAAAGCACTCACTTTTATCTCCTTTCCTGCAATCAGCTTCAGCTTTCAAATCCTCGTCTCTTGGCAGAAAATTAGCAACTCACTTATGATCGCCTCAAAGGCAACATGACAACAAGGACTGGTGTTTACCTCCAGTGGGCGACATGTGGTGAATATAGATTTTGCCGTCTCTCACGTTGTCGGGAGTAACTGACACCAAATGGTCCTTCCACACTTTGATACGGTTGGAAAATCCAATGATACTGAAATGATCCTGGGGTCGCAGGTCGTGGAGAATCGTGAACAGGGCATCCTTGGTCTAAACCGACACAGAAGCAAAACCAATCACAGCTGATCCCGTTAGTCCTCGCATCTCCTGGCTTGGAAACTGTATGCCGGGAACAATCCCTGGGTTAAAATTAAGGGCCTGAGACGTAAAGGGACTTGGATAAATGTCAGCAGAGCTTTGTCACCTCGCTGGAAAAAAAATTGTTACAATTATACAAGACACGAATAGGTGTTTAATATATGAAATGTCACAGGTAGCTGCAAGTCCTGGTGTCTCAGGCCTCCCTACGGTCACAGCGGCAATCCTGTTGACCTGGAAGGTTCTCTTCCTCTGCTGGACACCCATTTGTCACCTGCCGAGCTCCTACTCGCTCTTCAAAACCCAGCTTATCAGCTATATCCTCCACCTGAAACATTTCCCAACTCCTCCAGAGAGAGCTGGTCCCCTCTCCTCTAGGCTAGTTAGCACTGCCCTCAAAATGTGTGTGTTAGGAAGTGCACACTCCCCCAGTCCTGATGATTTGCTTTTTACCTTTGTCCCTTACTGTACCGTAAGCTCTTGGCAGGCAGCTTCCACTCATCCTCACATGGCCCTGTACACAGGGGAGTCCCCGACACACGGGGCGCAGAAACAGGGGTTCAGTGAATGAATGCATGCATTAACAGTTTACAAATTGTTAGACTAAAGGTATAAACAATAAACACCATAGGAATTTGAGAGAGAAGGAAAACTTGGAGGGGGTGGCCTGCGGCAATAGGAGAAGACTTCACAAGGAAGCAGGGATAGGATTGTAATGGAACCGGAGAACTTGAAAGCCTTGGAAGGGCATTCTGGAAAGCAGTAAAGACAAGTGAGGGGGGGGGTGGAGGGAGAGAGAGAGGTGTGTGGAATGCAGAACACTGCATAAGTACCAAGGAAGTCAGAACGACCACTGTCCCCACCCCAGAGAACCACAGAAGGATAATACAGAGAAGGATGATGTGTAGGAAACACAGGACCAACTGCTAGATCGTGTAAAAGAGAATTACAATACACAGATGTGGGTGGGGTGCCCTAAGTTGACTCGGTGTCAGCTGGGAAGCGGGCGGAGCATAGACTCCTCACCCTTTCTTGCACTCAGAGCCCACGCGGCCTGGCTCCCAGCCCTGCAGTGTGGCCTCTGGGCAGCCTGGAGGTCACAGCTGCAAGGGGACCGGACTGCAGCACCCGGCACCGCTGGGAGCCCAGCTGGAAGGCACCACTTGGAAAAGCCCCTCTCACGCCACCCCCGTGGGAGCTCAGTGCCAGCTCTCGGCACTTCCCCGGGGTGGGGGCCTGGGCAGGGGGGAGCCCGTTCGAAGACTGGGGTCTGTGTAGCTGCTGGTCTCCTTAGGGATCCTTAAATACTGTGCTGAAGAGCTCCAGAGGGCCTGCCTGGCTCCTCTGCCCCTGCTTTCCTCCCATTGTGATGGATATTCTGCTTGGGGATTGCAGTCCCAGCCTCCTGGCCCTGCTCCCCTAACTCAGCAGCTGCGGGTTTCTTATGACCTTGTAAGGCCACAGCTCGCATATCCTCTTGGGCACCAAGGGCGGGCAGGCCAGCGGGCTCACATGGCTCCCCTTCCAGTTGCACTGGGACTTTCTGGATGGCCTCCCCGCCTCATCCCAAGGGGCCTGGGTAGACCCTGCCACTGCGGCCTGCAGCCAGGACCAAGCCCTGGTTCTTACTCTCTGTGGGTTCTCTTACGCTCTGTGGGTTCTTACTCTCTCCTTAGGTGGGCTGACAGCCCTGGGAGCTCTGCATTCTTGGAAGGCTTGAAAGGCAAGCAGGTGAGTGTCCAGATGGAAGACTGCAGGTGGGTGGACTTCAGCTGGTATTTCTGCACGCTGTGTTTACATGCTGAAGATTAACACAAACCTTGCCAGACTTTCCAAGACTACCATCCAGAGAACAGGGTAAGCACATTCCAGAAAGATCAGAGGAAGCCCAGAAAGGCAGAGAATGGCCAGCCCAAGCTTGTTGGAAGGCCTGAACTACCCTGAAGGCAAAGAGGTGTCACAGGACGGGGCTTGGTCTAAACCCTGAAGGGCCAGGATGACAACCTAAGGAGACCCGTGGACACTTCAGGCACGGGCAGACAGATGAGGATGGTCACCACCCATCCCCCAGGGATGGGACCTAAAGGGAAATACCCCAGATGTCCCACCAAGCCATGTTCTTTGGCCTTCTTCCCTGCCCCCAGAGAGCCACTTACTGCCCTTGCACACTAGAAAGAAGCCTGCCCGCTTGAGACCCAGAACTCCAAGACACACCCACTGAAGTGAGGATCCCTGGAAATTAACCTGTTAACAGGTGACCACAGGACACTGTGCCAATGTGTTCCTTGGAGACCTTTTAAAATAGGTGTATACAACTTACGATTACGTACTTTGTATATTCGGTGGCGATTAAAACAACTGGTGGCTGTGATTAGGGAGGAAGGCTGAGCGCCTGGCACTGCAAAGTTACTCTTATTCTTCGGGGTCATAAGAGGACTCCTGGTGTGTCCCCACCGTTCATGTTTATTCTCAGGGACAGGGACAGGGCTTTCTGGGGAACAGAGGTTCAGGTCACTGTATCCAACTACCAGGTGGTCAGCCTGTTGGGGAGGAATCAGTAAGTCTTGCGGAGAGAGGGTGAGTGGGAAGAGGCCAGAAAGCCCAACCGTCTGCAGAGGGAGAGGAAAGTAAGGAGTAAGGAAGATCCAACTGAAGAGGAGGAGAGAGTCCTTAAAGAGATCGCCCAGCCCCAGAGGTGGTGCGTCTCCTCTGTGGGTGGGTGTTGCTTTCTGGAGACATCAGTCCATGGACACAGGCACCCATACATCCCTGCTGACCAGAGAGGGCAATCCGCAGACACCGGTCCACTTACATGACCAGAACATTCCAGATGGTGTCTGGACTGAAGAAAGATGAAAAAGGACCACAAATACAACTAATAAAATAAAAGGACATATTTCTTACCACTCGGGTGGTGAGGAAGTAAGTACGTTGGCCTGCAAGGTCATTAAAGACGCCTCTTGGTCCTAGCCATCTAGAACCACCAAGAATGGGGACTGTGCTCTGCCTGAAACTATTTTATGCCAGTGAATTCCTCTTCTCTTGTGTGCTTTCCTTAGGTTACCAGGAGGAAGCATTTCCTTTCAAAACAAGGCCTCAGAAGTTCATTCCAGCTCTGCCTTGGGGTTATTCTTAAGTCTTTTAATCTCTGTCCTTAAATTTAAGTACCTCGGGAACAAGATGGATATAAATAACTACAAATAAACTCTGTTTCAGATTTTCCATCCATTTAGCATGGTTGGCTATGGCCCCCCTGTTCTAGTGGATCTTCAGGAAAGAAACTTATATGGTATCCTCTGATGGCATCTGTGCAAAGGGCAGCGCGGGGACCCTCGAGATCGAGTAGGCTGACCTTCGGGAGGGCTACGACCAGGGAACAGAGTGTCCAGGACGCAGCTCTGTCCTGTGCATTGTGGGTCCCTGTATCAGACCATGGCAAGGGATGGGAACTTCCTCTCCCTCTTCCCTACAAAACTGAACCCTAGCAGCTGTGGGCTCTTGGCACAGCCCTCAATGGGGGTGAGCATTCCACTGCGCTAACTACCATGGTGAATGACCATGCAACATCTCACAAGCAGGGAAATGCTATATAATAAGACCCTCAGAGTGAAATGTCAGTGGAGCCCATGACGAACCCAGCTGCCTGCCCGACCCTTGGTACCACATCCATCAGGGTTCCCGAGGATGCAGGTTTTCTCAAATATTTCTGTGTCTGCACCAAACCACACTCGACAGGAAATAACTCTGACACAGAAGGCCTTTTGTCCCACAAAGTCTGGGTTCTTGGACATAAAACAAGGGGAGGCCATGACATCATAGATGAAATCCAAGTTCAAGGGTATCAGATATTAGCCATTCTATGTTTCCAGCAGAATGGTCGTGCTGTTCTCCTGAGCCGCGCTATCACTTGCCTCATTCTAAAATGTTTACCAAGAAGTGGATATTTTCCCTTTCATTTTTCCACGTGGTCCTTTTGAATGAACCCAAGAGAAAAATCGCCTATGATAAACAGCTTTAAAAAAAATCTCACAAGGAAACTTAAGCCCTTCTCACCTCTGAGTTGGGCCACAAATGAGAATTGCGATCAACAGATACACACCATGAAAACAGCCCTAAGTTTCTGAGAGAGAATCCCGGGAAATGGACTAGGTCCACTAGAAACTCTGGCTATGGGTCAGCCTTCTCCCTTTCCTAGGCGAGTACAGGTAATGGGGAGAAGGGAGGGGCTCATTTATACTGTCCTCCTGTTAGCCTGCAGTCCTTCCTGACAACAGCAGCGGGGAGCCCTCAATGCTGGGGTGCCCTGCTCCTGGGTGGCACCCAGTATGCCCTTGCAGTCATTCTATGTGAAGCGACAGGCACAAATAAAAAAAGTCTGAGACTCAGCGGTGCCTGGGTGGCTCAGCTGGTTAAGTGCCCAACTCTTAGTTTCAGCCCAGGTCATGATCTCAGGGTCATGGGATGGACCCCTGAGTTGGGTTCCATGTTCAGTGGGGAGTCTGCATGGGATTCTCTCCTCCTTTCTCTGTCCCTCCCCCTGCTTGCTCTCTCTCTCTCTTAAAAAAATAAATAAATAAAAGTCTGTTACTCCATGAAAGCTGGCAACATCAGATCCTTACTGCGACCTTAAAGTGCCTATTTAGGCCCTCAGGAGGAGAAAGGATGTATGGCCATCCCAGCATCTGCCTGCATACTCCACGGGCTTCCATGTATGGCGCTCCCTGAAGTCAGGGTCATGGTCAAGACCCCAGTAACCGGTGTGAGGTGGTATCTCATTGTGGTTTTGATTTGTATTTCCCGGATGGCAAGTGATGCAGAGCATTTTCTCATGTGCATGTTGGCCATGTCTATGTCTTCCTCTGTGAGATTGAAAATGGGGAAAATTAACAAGGCAGGAAACCACAAATGTTGGAGAGGATGTGGAGAAAAGGGAACCCTCTTACACTGTTGGT